TTTCTGAGAGGAAACGCGGGTTTTGTTTTCAAAGGACAATAAACGGCTACTGTATTCTGCATCGGACAGGTCAGACCGGCCGAGCGTGAGGAGGAAGTCACCGAACTCATCCCCGGCTTCCGCCGTGGCCGGGGCAGGGAGTGTGTGGGGCCCTGGCGGGGGGCGTGAGTGACACGGTGCTGGCTGTGAACAGGCTCCCCAGCTCCGTGTCAGGCGGCTCTGCTCTTACGAAATCTCTCCGAGTGAACTGAGTGTCTACACCGAAGGCCAGACACCGACCGGCAAAACACGTCAAAGTCCAATGCTCGTTGTTTCACGGATGCTCCACGTGCTCGCGCTAATCACCCTCCATCATACAAATTACTCTGGTTTTTTTTCCCCTAATACCCTTCTCTTCTGAAAAGCTGACGGTGGAGAGACAATTTCCTTTTATAATGCTATCCGGCCAAACGGAACCGTATTTCAAAAAGCGGTTTTATAGACAGGGTCAGATGAGAAACGCACCGTTGTATCCTAGACACGAGCCCTCGCTGGTGGGAGGTTATAATTATATTGTTTTAAATTTAAAAAGCAGTGTTAGCTCGGGGAGGCAGGCTGCTGCCATCTTTTTTGTATTGGGGTGGAGGCTGGCTCCAGGGACGTGGCACCTCGTAGCTGAGGCCCCCTGCCCCTGGGCCACCCCTACACTCTGTGGGCAAGCGAGGGCCGAGGTCACTGCCCGCCAGTGCTAGAGAGGGCCAGCTCTGCTTGAAAAATAATCTAAGCGTCTGCCTGTGCATAGAAAGACATTAACTCCGCGTGTTCTGTAAGCACGTTTTCAAAATCGGAGGAAGAACCTATTCACAAATGTTTAGCACACTTGCATAGATGCCAAGGAAAATTTACTGATATAAATCTGTCATGAATCTGCCCACCATCGACTCTGAAGCTACAGATGTATATAGAAGCAAAGTGCTAGTTAAGGAGGCTTCCTGTTCCCCCAAATCAGAGGTCCCCAAACCCCGGGCTGTGGACCAGTGTCGGTCAGCAGCCTGTTAGGAACCAGGCCGCACAGCAGGAGGTGAGCGGCGGGCGAGGGGGCGAAGCTCCACCCGTATGTGCAGCCGCCCCCCCAGCGCCAGCATCACCGCCTCAGCTCCGCCTCAGACCCTCAGCCGTTAGGTGCTCACAGGAGCATTGGTCCCTGGTGCCACTAAGGGTGAGGACCGCTGTCCCAAATGAAGGGAGGAGAGTTCTAGATCAAAGGTGGGGGGGTGTCGCTTTATCATGGCCGTCGGGTCCACTCACAGGAGGCTCTCTCTCCGTTGTTCCTGGTGTTTATGTCCCCTTTGCTCTGGCGCCCTTTGGTCCCCGTCACCTCCTCCATGCGGTAAATTTCGGAGACACAGAGTTTGGGGTTGAAGGCGAAGTACATTTTCCCGGCCTTGATGGTGAGGTTCCGGTGGTCCCAGTCCCACAGCTGCTGCAGGTTCTGGTTGTCGAGGACGTAGAAGGAGTAATTCCTAGAAGCACAAACGCCACGTCAACGCCCCTGCCCCGCTCTGTCCACCGTCCAGCCCAGCCTGCTGGCCACCCACCCACGCGTCCCCTGTGCCACGGGGCTCCAGGATCCATCGCCTTCGCCCGCAAGAGATATAGTTATGAACGGTATATGAGAGAGCGTCGCCGTCGGCGACGGCGTACTGAAATCGACAAGACGCTTGTTTCATGACCTCTGTCACCAACAAAGAATGCTCCTCGCAGCGAGGGTGCCACGCGGATCACCCCCAGACACGGCTTTGGCGGCTTCTCCAGCACAGAGGATGTCTGATGTGCCGGCAGCCCGTCCATGGGAGGACG